AATTATCATGCCATAATTTCATTATATCAACTCGTGGGTTTGCCCACCATATACAAAACCCAACTCAAAACTATGAAAATCATTATCAAAGATCCCAAAATTAAGCACAACAAGGAACCCAATTGAGAAAATTATAAAGCTAAATTGCCCAAATAAATAATGAAGCACCAATGAGAAGAAAAACGAGGAATTACCTCAGTTAATGTGAGGTATGCGTCACTCCTCTTCTTCTTCTTCTTCTTCTTCTTCTTCCCTGTAATTTTTAGATGTATAAGAAACCTAATTTACAGAATACAACTTTTATTTTTAGAACAGCCATGAACAAAAAACCCTAGATCTAAAGGCACAAAATACCCAAAGCTAGAGAAAGAGGAAAAATATAGAAAATTACCAAGATCTTCCAAGAGCAGCTGTGGTCTGTGGTGATGGAGCAATCAGACAGAACAAAAAGCCTTAGTGGTGAAGAGGGGAAGAGAGACTATTGCCAAAGAGAGGAGTGAGCCAAGCCAGAGAGAAGAGTGGTCAAGAAAGGGGGAAAGAAGAGAAGGGTGAGTGAGGAGGAGAGAAGAACGATTCTGATAGGGAGAGAAAATTGAGAGAGAGATTGAGCAGAAGTCTGTTTTGAGCGTTTGTTTTCTGGGAGAACAAAAACATCTTTTTTCTGTTTTGTAGAAGTAAACGTGAAGTCCAACTCATTTTATGAAAACGTTTTTGATGTTTTCTATTTTTATTTACCGAACATGTTTTTGCTCTGTTTTTGTTTTTAAAAAACAAAAACGGGCCTTTAAAACATAAACGAACAGGCCCTTATATCTCCAAATATCCTATAATTTTTTATAAAAAAAAAAATAGATACTATTGTTTTGAGTATAGGGAATTTCAGAAGAAGAAAAAGGGAAAGAAAATAAAAGGTTGACAGGCACAAAACTCTATCCAAAGCTTTGTAATTGTAATGTCCCAGGGTGACACGTGTCCTCTTACCCCTCCTAAAATTTGTATGGTTTGGTTTCCTTCAACTACCACTTCCCCCTTTGCTCTCTCCAAAATTGTAGCTCTCTCTCTGAAAAATGGCTGTAGCTCAAATCTCTGCCTCTCTCTCCCTTTCCATCAGAGGTACCCTCTCTCTCTGTAATTGATTATTGTAATATTGAATTTTCCATATGTAATATGTTTGAGCAAGTCTAAAATATGCAACAGATGCAAGTGGTATTAGCTCAGCAGCAGCAAGTCCTGCTCGGCTTCCCCTTTTCAATTCCCCTAGAATTGGGACTGCCTTTGCTACTGGTTCTCCACTCAGTAAGCCTTTGACTCTTACAGCTTTTATCTTCTCTGCTAATTGCCTTGACTTTCTGTTTAGCAATCCACCATAACCTGTACTATCATGGGTAGCAAGATTTCAAAAACTACGGGAAAAGTTGTTTTCTTTAAAATTTATTTCATTTCTGGAATGAGGGTAATGCAGCTCAATTGGGTTTTATGAACATTTAAAGAAGCGTTGTGTGTAATTATTATTTAGTGGAAAGAAAGTATGTTGATATTAGGACTGCAAAATCCCTCTATAAGAATTTTTACAGAAGCTTCTAGTTTGCAAGTTCTTGTATGCATAAGAGCATAAATGGCACATTAACTTCTTACTCACCTTGACCACTCATCTTCTAAAGTGTTAGGTTTCATTTCACTGGGTTTTTGCTCTATTTTGTGGGATAAGAGCTGATGTTTGAATTTGTTTTCAGTCATTAGAACTGTATATCATAAAAGGAAGGCAGTATGCAAATCAATGCCACTTTCTGTAAGGTGTGAGCAAAGCACGAAGGAAGGTGGTTTGGATGTATGGCTTGGCCGGCTTGCCATGGTTGGCTTTGCTGTGGCTATTAGTGTTGAGGTAGCGACGGGAAAGGGACTTCTGGAGGTATGAACACATGCTATAGGTTTTTACATCCCACCCAAGATTGCCTTTTTACTTTCAATTGCATTCATATTTATGGGAAGTAGTGTTGGTTTCCATACACTGAACAACCGGCTTAAACCAAAGATGATTTACCTAGTGCATCAAAGAAATTGAAAATTTATCCTTGATGTTGCTTTAAGTGTTGATTTAATTCTGTAGGAAACTTACCAAACCTCAAATAAGAAATTAGAAGTAGCATCTATAGATTATTTGTGAGTTCATTTCTAATACTTGAGAGACTTGGAGCCGAACTCAGTTGAAATCTTGTCACTTTGAGCTGGTTCTTCCTACATACACCAAGTCTTAGGGTTACAATGACTATCCATTGAAATTGTGGTCCCTCACAGAGTGAGCTTCTTCTTCCTTGTCTTTAAGCTTTTGTTATCTCCTTGCTTCTTAAGGAGATGCCTTCAGATCTAAAGCTAGCTTCTGATGAACTATTTCAACTCTTTTGGTTGGGGTATGGCATTGCTTATGCGGATCTTTGTTGCCGCCAACTGTTTAATGCATTACAGTTTCAAAGATTTTTTTAGTTAAATTCCCAGACGCCAGCTTTTCTTCAGTCTAGGAAATTTTGGAGCAGGGAGGCTCTCATGTCACCTGCTCATTATATCTTTTAGATGATTTGAAAACTTAATCTTACCTGAATAAGCACTCCCTGTTCCATCCCTTGGAATGTTGTACTTCATATAAAGTCACCTTATGTACAAATAGACAAAGACAACTTTCATTTTGCCACATAATTCTCAAAGAGATCGAGATTTCTATGAGATTGTTCCTTGCGTTCCTTTCCTTGTACTACTTTGAATTGGAAGCAGCCATGAAAACAGAATAACATCATAGTCACAAAGGATTTCCTTACATTCATAAAAGTGTCTTTTTTCTAAGGGAATATCATTCTCAACAACTACAATTAATGATAAGTTTTCATTTTGATTGTGCAGAATTTTGGGCTCACAAGTCCCCTCCCTACAGCTGCCTTGGCTGTTACAGCATTGGTGGGAGTTTTAACAGCAGTCTTCATTTTCCAGTCTGGCTCTGAAAAGTGAACACAGTTTAGATTGCTGTGTAGTGCTTGTATAGTTTGTAATTCTGACATGTATTTCAAACTGAACATTTGTTCATTACTGTAATTTTGTCAGAGTGGCAACAATTGCGGCACGACTTAAGGTTGAGGATGTACTTTTATTATATAAATGAGGGCTTAAGTTGATACGGAGGCTTTCTTTCTGGGTTGTTGCTTTTACTTGAGCATACTGTTGCTATGTCCAAATGATGACATCAACCTAAAGCCATTTGATGATTTGTATCTAACTTTCTGATAGTGGAATTGCTTCTAAATTGTTTAGACTGGCTACCAAAAAAGCGATTGATCATCAATGAGAAGGAAAAAAAAATTACTATTAAAGTTGGATTTCTTTTAATAGACTACTGCAATTTTTTCGTCATAACTATGAAAAAAAGGTGCATGATTCGGCGAATTTCTTCTGAAAAATAAAAAATTAAGAACCATAGCATTTCGCTCTAATTTCTGGATTAAAAGATATCTTAGGTAGGATTTATTAATTAGAAACTGATCTGGCAGAGAATTTCTCCTAGAAGGAGCATATTTGTGGTGCTTGTTGAGAAGGAACTTTGTTTTTTTTTTTTAATTAGATGCAGACACAAATGAGTACATAGCTTTTCAAAAGTTTCAAATATATATTCTTTGTGAGTTCCATGAAACCAGCCAACAGAATATTGGCCATGCCCACTGATGTTGTATGAATGTTCCCTTATGATGGCAACAATTCCTATTGCAAACAAAAAAATAATCAATTTTTCTTCCCTTTTAAAATAGAATTTATTCTTTTCACCTTTTGCATAAGCCACCTCTAATATTGTCCCATCTGGGTTTTGCTTTCAACTCAAGACATCTCGTTCTTTGTATAAAAACTGATTGAAACCATTGATATATTCTCTAGTTGGTGAAGTATTCATATTCCCCCAGGCTCTAAATCTTGTTTCACTCCTAATAAATTTTTTGATCATTTTTTTTTGGTGGCATGGGTGGAGCCATTTCTAGGCTTGCAAAGAGGTTCTTTCCAAAGAATGGAGTGAGGATTCTAATGGTGGGTCTTGATGCTTCAGGAAAGACAACAATCCTCTACAAGCTAAAACTAGGAGAAATTGTCACAACCATACCCACAATTGGTATTTTCCCAGAAACCCTTCCTTGAAGTAGCATCTATAGATTTTGATCATTCATCAATTAGAAAGCAGTTCTAAAAAATGTGTGTTCTGAATACTTACTCACACCACAGATCTCATTCCTTCTGTCATTTTCATCAACATTTGTTTCGAACTAGTCCAATCGATCAATTTACACTGGTTATATGATATACCCTTCACTTTCATGGAGCAGGCTTCAATGTGGAGACAATAGAGTACAAAAATATTACCTTCACTGTTTGGGATGTTGGAGGGCAAGATAAGGTACCAAGCTTGATCTCTTTTATATTTGTCTGTGTAAAGAAAAACTGATTTTATTGATTTCTGGATATAGTTGGAAATTATTTTGGTTCAAATATGCTTAAAATATTTACCAAGGAAATGATAATGAGTTTGGTATTGTGATCACTATCTATTGTGTTCATCTTCTCCTTGCTGCTAACCAGATAAGGCCTTTATGGAGACATTACTTTCAGAATACTCAAGGCCTTATATTTGTTGTGGACAGCAATGATAGAGAGAGAATCGCAGAAGCTCGAAGCGAGCTTCATCACATTTTAAGCGAGGTTAGTGAGGTTTGCCCGTGAGGAATAAGTTACCTGTTCTTAAATTTATGAAAAGGAGCTCTCAACTAGATCTACGCTTGCAGAATTATTGCATTTCTGTGACATTACAGCTGTACCTGAAAGAAAAGGAAATAAAAACCTTCACTTGCTGTCCCTTTTTGCAGAGTGAACTTAGCAATGCAACACTCCTGGTACTTGCTAATAAGCAAGACCTTCCAAATGCTATGTGTGCTTCTGAGATTGCCGATAAACTTGCCTTACACTTGCTCGGTCTACGTTACTGGTATGCATATGGTTTAATCTTCTTGAATATGCTTTGTAGATATTTCATTCAAATCGATTCCTTTTCCTGTTGTAGTGTGAACATCACAGTGAGGCCAGGCCTCTGTGAGCTATAACAAGAATGCAGAAGAACCTGCTATTGAAACTAAAAACAAAATCTAAAAAAACAAAGCAAATTGAGAGATTGAGCCTGTTGCAAGCTGATCATTTATTGATTCTGTGTTTGCCATGGCATGTTTAATTGATTTTGATGAAATTATCTTGTGCAGGTACATCCAAAGTACTTCTGCCACCTCTGGACAAGGACTCTATGAAGGTCTTGATTGGCTATCTAATAATATTATCACTGACAAGACATGATGTAAAAGACTTCTATAAGATTCAAACCAGCCACTTTCAATCTTTTTTATACAGTTTGATGGAATCAAATTTTATTAGCAATGCAAAGCGAACACATCATTTCTTTGCAAACCCTGCATATACTTTTGCACCAAATGGAGATCCAATAGGACTTGGTTTTAAAAAATGGAGTGCATCCAAGGTTGTCTTGCTGCCTAAATGTGAATGTTGGCTGGTGGATAAGATTTGAATAGGAAAAGTATTGATTGTTCTCTTTTTTCACCATGTTGAATAAATCCACTAACTTTGAGAATAAAATGTCCAAATAACCTATGAAAATTTCTGTTGGTTTATGCAGTAAGATCAATAACAAAAAGATACGAATTTAAGAACTGAGATTTTTTTTCACCTGAACAAGGTCATTATTAAGCTAAATCATAATCTACCAAATTTATTTTTGTCTAAACTAAAATATAGTTCATGCTTTATAAGCTAGTTATATAATATAGTACTACTAGTGAAGTGAAGCCATAAGATTTTGCAGAGCAACCCAAAGTTAACCAAGTCCCATTGAAATGGTGAAGCATTTCTCCATATCATCCCCCCCTCCTAGGCCGCCCTCGTCCTCGAGGCCTTGAATCATCGAGATATAACTCAGTTCCTTCCACAGCTCCAACAGCCCACAGTTGAGTACGATCATCATGATCAGTAGTATTCATTCGGAGTACCTTATTTTCGATGACAACTCCATGATCTGCGTGAAGTCTGGCCTTCAAGTCCCCCATGGTAGTACCCTCGTGTACCACGTAGTCATAATAAGGGCCCTGAGAGCTCAAGCAGATCCTGACATGACTTTTTACAAGGACATGAATGGCAGCATTAGGGGGAATACCATAGTCTTGCAGAGTCAATTCATCCCTCAGTAACTGCCCGCAGGAGAGCTCTTGCCTCTCCGGTAGGATTGGGACTTGAAACAATTGCCAAATCAGCTGTTTGAGGTCGATAATTCTTGTAGTGCTTGGAATTGGTAGTACAGGGTATACCACACCTCTGCATACGACATGGATCGGCGTCATCTATCAAATATCAATCATTTTGTTATTAATATGTGAAAATGTGCAAAGCATATGATTATAACCTTGGACAAAGATTACAACTTAATTAGCAGTCGCAAATTAACGATTTACGAAAAAATTCTTACCACAAAAGGAGGCAAATTAGCATTGGGATCCATTGTGCTGCTAGTCAGTTCTCTCAGTTGAATGCATGCTTCATTGCGAAGGAGATTCAGCTTGTTAAAATGTATCTCCTCAAGGCATTAGCATGGGGTTTGCCTTGAATGTGATTTGCATGTTTTTAATTCATGCATATTTTGTTCCAAAACTTTAGACTAAACATGAAGTCAACCCAACTTAATTATTGTCACGCATCTTCTATGTGAAAATGCAGCCAATGCCATAAAGAACAATTTAAATTTAGACTTTATTAATCTAAACATAAGCATAAGAATTGGACCATGTCAACATGAATACGATTGATGTCAAGTTAAGTTTAATGTCAATTACTTTACGTGTAAGTTATCAATTATTTGGTTTAATGATATGAGTGGATTGGATTTTTATTGTTTCAACAAATAAAGAAATAGATATAGATTTTTATTTTGTTTCAACAACTAAAGAAAAAAGTCGCCGTCTGTGGGAATCGAACCCACGACCACACGGTTAAAAGCCGTGCGCTCTACCGGCTGAGCTAAGACGGCATTTGCATCACAACAGATTTTGAAAACCCTAAACTCTACACAAACGTAAAGCCACTTGAAGTAATAGCATCAACATAATCTTAAGCTTGACCGGTCGGATGAACCACATTGTTATAAGAACGTAGATCATGAATATTTGAGATGCAAGTACGTAACCAAAAAAAAAAATTATCCTGAATACATCAGAAGGTCAGAGAGCCTATATCTTAATTTTATTGTGTACATAACTGGTTATAGATTTGAGAAAATTGGAGTTTTCCCCTTAAATTCTAATCAAACTTTTCTCGCAAGGGCCTCTATGAATTTCAGGAAGTTTCATGAACATTATGAATTATTTGAAAAATATTTTTTAATTCTGATTCAAATCCATATTTTTTTATATATTGTTTCATTTTGTTCATTTTATATATTTTTATTTATTAATAGTTACACAAAAAGATTGGACTTGAATTCCAAGCCCTCATGGAGTCTGAAAACCAGGCTTGAAGCCCGGAACCGACCCAATGTAAATAATCGGGCCTTTCCTTTAAGATTCAAACTAATTAACCTGTCTTTATATATTCAACAGCCCCCACCCGGCCTGAAGTAAGTCCAAGCTGAATTTTGTGCGTGTGTAATGTGCTACATTTTCACCCAATGCTTTCGCGCCTTACTTTCTTTGTCATTTTCTCTTTTTGTTGTTGGTATTTTTGAATTTATGTTTTTACAAATAAGCTCATTTAGAAAAATCCAAAACTAGCTGCTTGTCACTTTTTAATGTTTCTTCAAAAAATTTAACACACTAAGAATCAATTAAGAATGACAAGCGACTAGTTTTTGGGTTTTCTTTCCAAACAGGGCTCTGTGAGAATTTTTGTATAATATATCATGTTAGAATGAGTCTATTTGTGAAAAGCTCAGTTTTTTTTATTAGGATATGAGAATTTAGAATAAACAAAAGAGAATGAATTAAAATTAAGAATAAAATTATCCAAGTAAAAATAGCCCACGGTAGTAGTGAATTAAAAAGATTTTGCAGCAAACCAAGTCCCATTGAAACGCTGAGTTATTTTTCCATACCATCTCACAT